TGTAGATGACATTGGTCCTGTCCATGGCGGGGAGTGGGTCTTTAGGTCAGGTGAGCACTTGTCGTAGGGTTGATGTGGGTTTGTGTGCCACTCTGATGCCCAGCGGTTGTAGAATTCTTGTGGTGAGTTCTGACGTGTTCCTGATGTAGGGTATTGTGATGAGTGTGTCGGGGCATGTAGAATCTTTTTGATGCTGTTCCTGTAGGCATCTCCTGACCCAGTTCTTTGGATATCCATTATCCTTGAACATTTGGAAGAGGTATTCCTCCTCCTCTTGGTGTAGTTCCATGTTGCTGCAGTGTGTTGTTGCCCTTTTAAATAGCGTTTGCACGCAGCTTCGTTTGTGTGTGCTGGAATGGTTACTATTGAAGTTCAATACCTGGTCTGTGTGTGTGGCTTTTCGGTGTACTTTCATTTGCAGTTCCCCATTTGTCTTGCACTCTACCATGATGTCCAGGAATGGGAGTTGTTTGTTCTTCTCCTCTCTGGTGAATTTTATTCCAGTGAGGGTGTTGCTTATGAGTTTGTGTGACTCTTCTAATTTGGTCCGTTTAATGATGACAAAGGTGTCGTCTACGTAGCGTATCCATAGTTTAGGTTGGATTTGTGGAAGGGCAATCCTTTCCAGTCTTTACATCACTGCTTCTCTTATGAGTCCGGAGATGGGCGATCCCATGGGTGTCCCGTTGATTTACCCGTATGTTTGGCCGTTGAAGGTGAAGTGCGTGGTCAGGCATAAGTCCAGTAGTTTAAGCATGTTGTCCTTGGACTTCACCTTCAATGGCCAAACATACGAGCAAATCAATGGGACACCCATGGACTCATAGTATTGATTAATAGGGTTGTTAAGACAACATGCAGGATTCTTGCTTTTCTGAGTCATGGCATGGATTATATCAACAGGGAGGTCATGTTGGGGCTGTACAGAACTTTGGTTAGGCCACAGCTGGAGTACTGTGTGCAGTTCTATCAGAAGGATGTGATTGCACTGGAGGTGGGAGCAGAGGAGATGCACCAGGATGTTGCCTGGGATGGAGCATTTAAGCCAACTAGAGAGGCTGGATAGGCTCGGGTTCTTTTCTTTAGAGCAGAGAAGGTTGAGGGGGGACCTGATAAGAATGTATACAATTATGAGGGGCATGGACAGGGTGAATAGAAAGGTATTATTCCCCTTAGCCAAAGGGTCAATGACAAGGGGGCATAAGTGAAAGGCAGGGGTTTAGAGGGGCTTTGAGGGAAAACTTTTTTCACCAAGAGGGTGATGGGGGGGCATGGGGTCTGGAATGCAATAGTTGAGGCAGAAAGCCTCACAATTTGTAAACAAAAAACTTGGATGAACACTTGAAGTGTCATAACATTAAAGGCTATGGGCCTAGTATGGGAATGTGAGACTAGTGATAGATGATAGTTTATTTTTAGCAGTACATACTGGATGGGCCGAAGGGCCTTTTCTGCATTTATAATTCTATTTTGTGAACCTACCGGCAGAATTCCCAGCACCACATGGTGCCCTGCCTATGAAACAGAGGAAATCTGGTCAGTGTTGCAGAGTCGCACTGCACCATTAGAATACCTTGGCCCCAGAAGTCAAAGGGAGTGGGACAGTCTCAATACTTCTGGCCTCAGCCAAGACTGAATCCTGCAATGGGTATGTCAGGGAGGGAGAGGAGCCAGAAGGAGGAGAAGACATTACAACAAGCTTTCACTTCTTCATCACAATCTGGCTCCTTGCCATTGCAGCCTCACAGATTACCAATATTATTCGATGGATAGTTCTGGAGAGTAGCACAAGCTCTTAAGGCGGGGCAATAGCGAATGGAAGACTGAACTCCAACTCCCCACCAGTATTTGCGTGCAGAGGCAGGGCTAATGGTGGTACCCTTATGGTGAGCAGGTAAAGAGAAACTTAAGTCAGTGCCAGGAATGAGCACAATAAGAGTGTAACCATGAGTGGATCTTGTCCTGGATCAGGTCATCATCCTGAAAGGGTTAATGTTCACTACGGTTCCCGACAGAGCACCTTCCAAACCCACAATCACTTCCATCCAGAAAAACAAAGGCAGTAAATACATGGGAGCACCACCACCTGCAAGTTCCTCCCCAAGCCACTCGCCATCCTGGCTTAGAAATATTATCGCCATTCATTTAGTGTCACTGGGTCAAAATCCTGGAACTCCCTCCCTGATGGCATTGTGTGTCTAGTTACAGTAAATAGACTGCAGCACTTCAAGAAGGCAACTCACCACCCCTTTCTCAATTGCAATTAGAGATGGACAACAAATGCTGGTCCAGGCAGTGATGACAACATCCCATGAATGAATAAAATAAAATCAGTGCTTCTAAGTCAACTTTCCTAATCTCTGGGATTTTAAACCAAAGCCTGCACAAACTATTACATACATAACATATCCTTCCAGTAGATTTTGCTGAAAGGTTTTCTTGTTCCTTTAAAATGATTTGTATTACTTCAGAAGAGCTTGAGATATGAATTGCCAATTTTTACAGCAAAGGAACATTTCATTTCAGTACCAACAAAGCTGCCACGTTTACCCATGGTATTTCTCTAATTGTGATTTTGCTGTAGACTGCTGAATGTTGGATGACCCAAGTGATTTCAATAAGCTTCCCTTGGTTAGCGAAAGAATGTGCGACAGACAGTGAGCTTTGGGATTATCTTGTAATGTTGTTAGTAAATTTGTAAATCCTGGTGCCGTAACACGGAGAACCATGTTGAACCCCAGCTTTATGACTATGGTGTTAATTTCTTTGTTAGCTAATCCTGTGCTAAGTAAGCAGATTACAGGCTTAAAGTAGACTGCCATTTGGACATTTGAGACCAGCTGTCTTAATAGGGACTGATAAACAAAGAATAACAGAAATACAGCACTGGTCAGATTTGTGAAGTACACCTGTCTAACTAGGCTGTTACACCTCCTGTCTATAAAAGAGCTCTGGGAGATATTTGGTTCTTCTTGCCAATGGGATGCAAAGTAACTTTGAGGCATGGCACCCAATATTAATATGTCCAGTACATATAAAGGGAAATAAAGATGGTCATATTATGTGACAGAATGTCAAGAGCTGTTTATATAAGAACTGTCATCCATGATCTGCAACTCCTGATGATTAGCAGAATTACTGGAGCAAGTAACATCCTGGTTTGGCTGCTTTCCGCAGCAAAGATAATCCAGTTTAAAGTAAAGAAAAAAAAATTCTGTATTTTTCCACAACATTGATTTTATGGTGATCTGATTTATGTCTTTGTACATCTCCATCTGACTGTACAGTTATCTCATTTACACAGCTCATTAACCAGTATTTATACAGTTTTTTTGATGTCAGATTATTGCATATAGCATTGCTTTTCATAAAACTGAAAGTCTTTCTGACAGGACTTGTTTTTCCAATTCTGTTGGTGTATTCAGACACTGGTAGACATAATATGTTAGCCTAGTCAATGTGTCCAAAATGATGTTTGCTGAGAGCGCTGCTATTCAATCCTGGTTGAGAGTGGAACAAAATCTAAAGCCAGAATGATAACGTCTTATTGGAATAGTTGAGATCAGATCAGTTGCATAATTATCTGCAGATCGAACTGTAGGTTTGGACTTGTGTAAGGAGGTAGACTAATGGGAGCAGATAAATGTCTATGAGTGAAGTTTATAGTCATACGGAATAGGTGAACACAATTTCTTTGGAAAGGACTAGCTTGTAATTCTCCACTCTGCTAACCTACACACATTACAAGGGAGATGTGACAGTGCCTGTGGAAAAGTTTGTTGATAATTTATTTGGGGTGGAAATTGGATTTCACTGCTATGTAGGGCACCCTGCCATGTCTTATTTCATGAATAATACTATAAACATGGCATTCTTTGAGTGTCCTACTTCCATTATTCTTAGTACTGTTGTTGCATATGTGTATTTTTATTATTATTTACTTAGTAAAGAAAATGAATATGTCTTTAAAATGGACCCACACAATCTTGCAAAATGGCTCCCAGAAGTCACATGATTACCCTTGGTCCAAATATGGACAAGAGGTAAATTCCAGAGGTGATGATAGAGTGCCTGCCCTTCACTTCAAGACAGTATTTGATTGCGTATGGCACCAAAAAGCCCGAGGAAAACTAAAGTCAGTGGAGTCAGGGAAAGATATGACTCCAACCAATGGACAGACATTAGCATACAGGAAGTTCATTATAATTGTTGGAGATCAGTCATTTCAACATCAGGATATCAGTGCAGAAGTTCTGGACTGGAGTTTCCTAGGCTCAGTCATTTTCAGTTGCTTCGCCAATGACCTCTCCATCTTAAAGTCAGAAGTGGGGAAGTTTGCTAAAGACTGCATCTTTTGCAATTCCTCATACTGAAGCAGCCTGTGTTCATAAGCAGTAAGGCCCGGACAACGTTCAAACCTCAGCTAATAAAAGGCAATTAACATTCACGCTGCACAAATTCCAGGCAATGATAATCTCCAACAAGGGAGAATCGACTATTGCCCCTTGACGATAAATGGCATCACTGAATCTCTCACTCTCAACATCGCAGGGATTACTATAGACCAGAAATTGACCTGGACCAGGACGTCAGAAGCTAGGAATTTGGCAATGAGCATCTTACCGCCTGATTCCCTGTCTACCATCTACAAGACACAAGTCAGGAGTCTGGTGGAATACTCCCCACTTGTTTGGATGGGTGAAGCTCCAACAACACTGAAGAAGTGTGACAACACACACACACACACACACACATCCCTACCTACACACACCCCCAGACCCAACTTCACCTCACATACCCCCATGCTCAGTCACATCCCTAAACTGCACACACCCCCACACATCACCATACACTCCCACCTACGTACACCCTCACACACCGAGTGTACTTGAGTTATTTCAAATCGCCCTTTGTTTCCCTTCCTGAAATAAACTTCTTATTATACGCCCTGGAATGATTGTTGCCCACACGTTGCCTGAAATCTTGTTTCTTGACTGCAGGTACCTATATGCACTTGGGCAGAAGGTTTGGAAGAGATGGAAGAAGCGGTACTTTGTCCTGGTTCAGGTTAGTGAGTGATCCATTCGAGTTCATCTAACATTTCTTCCTATTTTGTCTTGGGATTACAGGTATTAATGACATAAACGTATTTATTCCAAGGGGATGTATTTCTACGTGACAAATTTTGCATTAACTTTTGCAAATGAGATAATTGTTCTGTTATTATTTGCGTACTGTTACCTGGGATCCAATGAAATATACCCACGCAGCTAAATCGATCATGCCTGATGTTTCAGGTTAGCCAATACACATTTGCAATGTGTAGTTACAGAGAAAAGAAGTCTGAACCTCAGGAATTAATGCAACTAGAAGGATACACGGTGGACTACACAGAGCACCAGCCAGGTATACACTATCAGAGAGACAACTATTGACTATTTTGTGCTTGCACATCAGAATGTTTTAATCAGACAGCTGAGAGGGTGGGATATGTTGGTGAGTTGACTTTCTAATGTATTTCTTTTCTTGCTGTATGAAGAATGAGTATTGCAGTTGGACTCTGCAATTTGTGTCAAAATGTATATTTGTTTGCTGCACATTTTGTTTGGTGTTCCTGATTTTGGATTGGTTCAACCCTGCACATCACAATAAATAAATGTAAATAACATATCTTGTGATGTTTTGAGTGAAGTGTGTCCTCTCGTTTTCAGCTGTTTCAAAAGCCAACATAGGGGAGCAAAAAGGCCGTTACATACTTGGGACTAATAATCGAGCTGTCTCAATAGGCTGAACAGTTCCCTTCTTTGCTATATGTTTCTATGAAAAATAAAGGTGATTAGTGTCAGGCTTTATCCCATCAAATCTTCATTGCTTAAAAGTGAAAAACTTTCTGACCGATGTATTAAAAGAGCTATCCTGCACAGGTTATTTTGCTAAGAGTTTTAGCAGCTTTGAATTTTATCCATTTACCAAAAGTAATCTTAAATATTCAATTAACTAAATTAGAGCAGGGAAATTTAGGGTGCATTCTCAAAGTCATGGCAAAGTGAAGATATAATTCAAAGATACAAGTGGAACTTTAGGGTGTATATGTAAAGCACCATAATACGTATGTAGAGGTTTTGGGTCAAGGTTTGACAAAGTACAAGACTGATTATACTTGAAGTGCTAGGTTCAGCTTTTGGACAGTGCACACAAAATATTCTTGAATTGGGAAGGTTTACAGACCAGATCCTAAATCTAAAGGAATCAGTATCAAGGAAAGCCGAGAGAAGTTTCTAGTTTCAAGAAGGAACTTGATTAGTGAGGTAGGGTTGACTTTTTAAACAAGAGTTGAGCATGAGAAAGGAAACTATAACTTGATTCTGTTCATTCACTTGTAGGTCTGGATGGTGGCCGGGCATTCTTCAACGCAGTTAAAGAAGGTGACACAGTCGTGTTTGCAAGTGATGATGAACAAGATCGAGTGTTGTGGGTTCAAGCTATGTACAGAGCTACAGGCCAGTCCTACAAACCTGTCCCTCCATCCCAGGTCCAGAAGCTGAATGCAAAGGGAGGAAGTGCACAGTTACCAGATGTGCCTATTTCTCAATTCTGTGAGTAAACCAAACCAATTTACTGCTACTATTCATTTGTTTAGAAGCTACAAAATGTCAATGCTTTCCAGTCACACAATCCTTACAAACCAAATACCAGAGGAGCATGTGAGCCCTGTAATTTTCTCAGCAGTGTTACGTTTCCATGTTTAGTTATCTAATGTACAAGCATTGCCATCAGAAGCATGTGGTTACTAATTCAACTATGATTGGAAGAATAGATATTATGTCATAGAGGAATTTTTGTAGACCTCACAGGCCCCTGAATGACCTGAGAGATAAGCAACCCAGATGGCTAAAACACTTTGTCCTTAGCCTTCTTTCTAAGCTGTTTTGTGGTCAGAGACCAGATGTAACCTGAAAGACACATGTTGGGACCGCTTGGATGATTCAGGACATTGATTCTGAACTGTATATTTCACTGTAGGCTTCAGGCATCACTTCATTCAATTGTCAAATATTAGAGCTATGCAACAAACTTTTGTCAACCTGCATTCATAAAGGTGCATTGTTTTTCGGTAAATACTGTTCTATTTGCTTTTACATATAAAACAAGGATGGCTAGGAAATAATGCCTTGCCGCTTTGTCCAGCAATATGAAAATAATGAGAACTCCTATGTTATTTATTTTTCAGCAATGTTGTAAGTGCGTTAATTATAAACACATTAAGTTATCATCAGATGTTTCCCAAGCTATAACTTATTAAAAATGTTTGTAAAGGTACAAATAATGAGTGCTAATTTAACTTTACACAGTGTAGTAGTTTAATCTTTACAACACAATTGATTACACTTACAGTCCCAGGTGAAATTCATAAATTACATTTAAATTTCACATCAAAAGCTCTTTGGTGCATATGCCCTGAAGGAGTTTACACAGATTCCAGTCCCTTTAAACACTATGGTCCGTTGACCCTAGACTTTGGTCTTTCCCCAATGAGTCTTTGTGGCTTCTCCAAGCTTTGGTGTATCCTTCAGCATGCAGTCCTGTATCTTGAATGTGTCAGTCTGCAACACCCAGCAATAGGACAGCACTTTCTGTTGAAAATCAGCAAGTTTCTGGCAAACTGATGAGCATCTTTCAGCAAGTTGATGGTCCTCCAGCAGCACTGATTTTTTTTTCTCTGTAGACATACCTGGGAACAGCCTAAAGAGCACAGAAGTCTGTGTTATGGAGTTACTTGGGATGAACCTAAAAAAACACACTACGTCCCATTTCAGATTTTCTTTACAAAAGTTCATTCCAGATGGAAATGGGTGACTGTCTTTTCCTTGGTAAAGCTGTCTCGAAAACACTGTGTAATGTCACTGAGAGGCTGTTGTGTGTATGAAGCCTCTCAAGGCAAGGCATACTTTTCAGCACCTAGCACATGTTGACGTTTGTTTTTAAAGTGCTGACATTGAAGCATTCTGACAAGTGACTGTCAGATGTAATAAGATGCAGGAGTGATACGAGCAGGACCAGCTGGATTCCATTGAAGCAGTGCAAGACCACTTAAATTGACGGCGACCATGTTGCCAGCCCACCAGCCCATCCTGTTGGTTATTTCATTATCATGTTACAAGTGTTGCACAGTCCGGTTATATGTGAAGCTCTTTGAAGATATGAGTGTCCAATGCCACGATGTGAATTGCAGGTTGAATTTATTCCCTGATGCAGTAGCAGCTCAATCAAATAGCTAAAATCAACTTTGTGCAAACATTTGACATGTGCTGTTTGTACATTTGGAACACACACACTTAATACTTGTTAATATGTATACTTGGCCATCTACCTCATAAATAGAATTGTTGAGAAGTCTTTTCTTGGACATTTCCTAAAAATGTGCCATTATCTTTTCCATATATCCTTTATATAGAAGAGAGGGCAGGGATTCCATGCAGGTGTCTGTATTACCAGCCTGTGATTTTTTTTTTCTGGTGTGCTCAGCACTATGATAAAGTAATCCCAGCCATAAGTATTGTTAGTACCAAGTTCCCATTACTTTGCAGTGACAGGTTTCTTAATCACAGTTCTGATGCTAATTGATTGCTTTTTACATTTCTGATGCATTAGTTTGCTTCCAATTTTTCTATTTTAACTTTTTCTTCTCATGTAAACTCTGTGCTGGGTTATATGGAGACATGGCTGTGGTATGGTTTTGTTTCAAAAATCTGTTTGGGAGCTAATAGTACCGTCTGTGCAAATATTAGCATTGTTAAATAACATCACTTTTAGCATGTTAGGTGTAGCGTTTTTGTACTAATAAAGAAAATGTGGAAAAGCTAACATCTTTACACTGTTCCATAAGAATTTTTCCTCGTTATGAAGAAGTCTCAAATCAGGCTTCACACCAATGTTGTAATATCTAAGTTTTCAATGATTGAGCATACCATGCATGCAAGAAAAAAGAAGTCTCAATAAATGATCTATCTGCTCATCTTGCAGCAAATATATGTCCTTCCATCCACAGCTTGTGGCCTACACGCCAGGTTCATTGTCTACACACGGAGTTGAGAAAGGCTGTTGTTCACCATCAATCAACTCAGCAAGTGTTATGTTCAATCATAGTGATTGCAGTATTATGAGAATGAAGGAACGTCAATTGCAGGGACTTTTAAAAGATGTAGCAGGAAAGCTTTCTACAGAATCATCCATGAAATGACAATCTTGCCCAACTAGACATCAAGAATAGATAAACAATAGTGAGTTGTGAACAAAGGTGCAGTCAGGCGATACTGTATTTATTATGGCTTCTCTGGTAATAGAATCAAGAATGTTGTGTAGTAAAGCACAAAAAAGAAGTCTAACCGTTCTTGTTTAGAGGTATAAAGGCAGGATTAGGCTGCACACCGGCATATGTGCGACATATGACCAGTATTTTTTGCCCAAAAGCTAAATGAGAAGCAAACTTCCATTGACCAACATCTGATGATCATCAAATTCACAATAAAACAATGCGTCATTTAAAATATTACTTTTCTGACCATTCAGAGATTTTGCTTCAAAATGTTTACATGCTCTTTATGCCTTGTGCAATGTTGATCTTGACGTAAAGAAGCAAGACGTTAGATTTTTCTTGCACATTGTTTGTGGCAGGACAGGTGACAGAATGTGGTAGCCAGGTGTCTAGTGTTGTACAACATAAACCATAGAACAGTACAGGAATGGGCCCACAGTGTTGTGCCAAACATGATGCTAAATTAAACTAATCCCTTCTGCCTGCCCCTGGTCCATATCCCTCCGTTACTTGCATATTCATGTGCTTATCTAAAAGTCCCTTAAATGCCCCTATCGCATCTGCCTCCACCAACACCCCTGACAGTTGTTCCAGACTCCTACCATGCTCTGTGTAAAAAAAAAAACTTGCCCCTCACATTTCCTTTGAACTTTACCCCTCTCACCTTGATATGCATGCCCTCTAGTATTAGGCATTTCAACTCTGGGAAAAAGATTCTGACCGTCAACCCTATCTATGCATCTCATAATTTTATAACTTCTATCAAGTCTCCCTCAGCTTCTGCTGCTCCACAGAAAACAACCTGAGATTTTCTAGCCTCTCCTTAAAGATCATACTCTCTAATCCAGGCAGCATCCTGGTAAACCTCTTCCATACCCTCTCCAAAGCCTCCACATCCTTCCTGTAATGTGGCGACCAAAATTGAATGTGTGGCCTAACCAAAGCCTTATAAAACTGTGACATGTTGTTGACAAAAGCCCTCGTTTGCTTTGATGGTAAGATTCATTACCACGGAGCTGGTAAACTGCAGGTAGAAAATGAGTACTGAGAACCAATGGACTCTCTTTCTTGTGCTGTGGGGGCAATTTGTTTAATTGTTCAGTTTATTTGCATTTTTTTTGAGGGACCACATATGCTGTAACTTGAAGTGGTTTACTTATGGTTTGTTCACACACAAATTTTTAGGTTACTGCATAGCTGTGAAGTTTAGCACAAGCTTAGAACAGGACTGCCACCTGACCACCAGAACTGAGGACAAGCAAGGGTAGCGTCAGGACTGGATAACTGTGGCCTGAGGATTTAGGGGACCATTGTGCTCAGGCCGGGAGATGGGAGCCTGGGCCAGGAATAGCACCTGGGCCCATGATTTCTCACCCTTTCCCTGTTGGCCACCACAATATTGAGAGGCTTCCTAATCGTCCTGGCCCACAGAAATAGATAAGGACATATCTTTGGGCTTTAACTGGTTCTTTAACTGAATTATTAGCTGGAGCTGCGGAACACGTACTTCACACGTGCGTTCTAATTGGATCTGGTAATAATGAAATGATTTTGACATCACCAGACAGCATTTCAAATACTTAAATTATTTGAGCACTTTTTCAGGCTGTCCCTGGGCCACTTACTTTAGGGACCTTGGCAAAATAGTCCAACCCTCAGCAATGGTAGGATCGGACTAGTGGGTTTTACCCAACAATTTTAAGGAAAATGCCACCCTGAAAAGAAAGCCACAGTGTTTCCCTGCAAATTTTCTGAATTGCCCCATTGTAAGAGCGTCTTGTTTACATCTTTCTGCACCATGTTTTTGTAAGTAAATATATTGTGTTTGATTTTGTAAATATATCTATGTTTCACCTCCTCCATTTTCAGGATCGTGCACCACTTGTCAGTATGTTTGTCCAACAGTCAAGTTTGGAATTTACTTTTAGTCCACCAGGTTGCTGCAGAACGCATTGATTATTCCGTTACTGGATCAGTTAAATGTGTGCTACGACATATTGACTTCTTCTAAAAAGGATGCAATCTCCAGCCATGGAGTTACTATTCTCGGGCAATGATGTCGCACCAAATGTGTTCTAATTCCTTTGCGTTCAATTCCAAACTTATAAACATTTGAAACTGCTTGAATCGTTCTGGTAATGGCATTTTTCTGTGGAACAAATTTGTCATATCTGATCCAAGGTGTGAGTGGTGTGTGTGTCTGAGAGAGAACTTGTCGACCATTTGACTTAGGAGTGGTAGGCCATTCAGTCCATCAAGCC